GAAAGAGTAATTATTGGTTTGCAAGCCCAGAAGTTGATTCATTGACGCGAAGTGCCAGATGCGACTGTTATAATTGAAATATTTATACCTTACTTGCGTGTTCAGAACTCATCAAAAAATAAAAAATAAGCATAGCATTCAAGGTATAATAAAATGGAAGGCATCGTATTGAAGAATTTCTGCAACATTTCCGAGTAGAAAATAATTTTCAATGGCTTGCTGAGGATCTAGCATAAAACATTACCTTGATCATTGCCATGGCCGAAAGAACCTTGCTTTTGATGAAATGCGTTATGGTGTAGAAATGCGCATTCGTGAGCTTGAAGGGAATATTATGTTAAGCAATCCTAAGATCCCGGAATGATATCCGGATCTAATTTTAATTATGCACGTGAATATCACAAGAAATAAATTTGACGCGACATCGTGAATTTAATGCGACAATTTTTTTATCATATTGTGTTATAATGATCACTCAAGAAAGTGAACGTTGGACGCTAAGGGTTCCGTACTTCAGGAAGAACGAAGCGTGGAACCTGATAGATTTTTTGCATTGGAGTATAGTGCATATAAGCGATTTCGGAAAAAAGGAGGAGGAGCACAGAACATATAAAATTTGTTTGGAAGAGATTATCCAAAGTCCGGAGTTATTAGAATCTCGTAACGATGAATCCGCCAAAGAGTTGGCGTTACGATGTTTGAATTCACTCGAGGTTAAATTTTTTTCTTTCTTTCTCATTTTGCCATATTTCGTTTGTTCGGGTCCATAGCATAGGCTAGGTTGCGTCCGAATATTTCTTAGTCGAGTCTAAGAGAGTGCCTTGCTGTGGCCCGTTGCTAACTGCTCAAAGTGCTAGGTCGAGTCTGAATCCCCGCTCGTTGAGTCGAAAATCCCAGGGTCGAGTCCCATTTTGGGTTTGCGGGTGCACTTTAGCTTTTAGTTGCGTCTAAAAGTTTTGGGCAACAAATTTTTTTTTCATTATACATATTCAGCGTGAAAAGAAATTACCTGAAGTAATAACCTTCTGGAGAAATAAAGACAGTGTTATGAAAACGTTAAAAAGAACATCAATCTTGAATTCCAATAATATAATCAATCGGATGTTGGACTTACACCACGATTTCAATGAAGCGCTATCCAATACTACTCGACAAAATATTGAACCAGGTAACATCTCAAAATTCACTTTGCATTGTATACATGAAATATGTATTCGAGCTTTTCTTAATAATACGAAATAATAGCTCTGGGAAAGAAAAGAACGAAGGATGAAGCTGAATTTGATACCGATTCAGGCGATACACTATCGGATGACGATAATAAAGAAAACTTTGATGAACCAGAGATGGAAGAGGTACTTAGAATATACTAACAATTTTATACTTTCCAAGTCTGCGCATTACAAGTTAAATTTCAAATCACACAAATTTATTCCAGGAGGTGACTCTATTTCACAAACGAAAAAGAGAAGTTTCAGGAGTGGATTTATTGGATACTATTCAAGTTCCGAAAATTGAGGTAATTTTGGTTTCCCATATATCAACATGTTTTTATATCGTATATCGAAACTAAAGGTGAATTTAATCAGATGTTGGAAGGATTGGAAACGAAATCGCGCTTAGAAAAATATAATATTTTTTGTCCTTTTGATGTTGAGTTTCATTACACAAAACAACTTTTTTTAAAATTATCACCGGATCAAATGAACGCGATAAAAGGTAAATGGACAACGGTTAGTTGATTGGTTTATTTTTTTAATTGTTATGGGTATGAACTCTAGATTAACAAATGTATTTTATGAATAACAATGAGGCCGAAGAGTCTGTTGATAAAAAAAGAAATCGAAGAATGCTGGGATGCATGTTTGCTGAAAAAAAATAGTTGATAATTATAACGAAGTCATCAAAAAGAATGTAGATGAAGATACATTTTTTAGACTTCAATTCACTTATGACGGGTTTTACAAGACATCAATTTGATAAATATGAACATCAAAAAAATTATGAATTGTTTTGGTGCCAAGACCTTTATACGCGATTGTATGTATTATGATGAATTCTTTTGTGTTATTATGACTGCAAAATGAAATAATCAATTCTTTCTTAGAACTCTCCAGTTATTGCGGAAACGTAGTGCATTGTTGGACAGTAGTACAAGTGAATATCAATATCGAGACGAAATAGTAAATCCTCTTCTGTCGTCGATATTTTATGATACCGAGAATGCATTGTGGTTGAAAACGTAAGCTACGCCTCCTGAAAGTTATTCCCAAAATTATGAATCTAATCTATTATTAATAATAAACTAGAGGAGAAATTGAAAATACGATACGAAAACGACAACGCAATTTTTCAAAACATAAAGACTTGGTGACAAACATGATGGTATTTTACACATGAACATACAAGGTACACCAGTCGAAATCGGTTTTTTTAGAAGTAGTGGGTAATGCGTTTACCAAGACAATATCCGACAAAAATGATGATCTCGAGAAACTCTTAAAAGGTACATCTGTAATTTACATCTATTCTGAATTACATAATAACTAGCCAATTATATTTATTAATTGTAGCCATGATGATATGTCTTTGGTACCAACATGCACATCAATCTGAAGAGAGTATTCCGGGAGACATTGTAGCAGGCTGATCGGCGAGTCTGTCGCTAATGACCAAAAGCTCGCGTAACCTGCGAATAGAAGAGTCCGTCCTTCTATGACACAAAAAACAAACTTAAGGCAGAAGCGTAAAAAGATTTGGGCGAGTCTTAGGTAGTTTTTTCCTAAAACTACTTATAACTTCACAGTTATAACAATCTATCCAAAAGATTTGTCTTAAGATTCATCATTTTATTAAGTCATTGAAAGAAGTTACATTTATACATTTTTACACATAGGGTTATTACATAATCACTATGGCTATTCTAGTATTATGTCATGCATAAATTGTTTTGTGGTCAGCTAATTTTCTATTACCTCAGCTCAGTTTTTTATCTTTTTGACATGAATGGATTGTTCGTGCTATGGTGATAATTGGCAATGGATTGTTTTGCATAAGCTTCAATTATGTTGTGATCATTGGTCATGTGACCATAGCAAAAATTCTGAACTCAGTCTGATTTCTTTGACCTTTAACAACAGTTAATCCACACAAATCAGTACTTTTAATCATTAATGACAGGTGTACTAGTATTACAATTAACCAGATAATTGAACCAGTAGATAAACAAAATGCCATCAGAATTCTAGAAGTATGGCATAAAATCAAAACTAGTAAAAAGTTTCAAAGAAACCTAATCTGGAAAAAGGTCAACTCAATTTGTAATATCATAGAAAGGAAAGCAAGCAATGATAAGATGCATAAATACATTATTAATGGTGTCCTATTCTCTACAAATACTTGCTAAGCAATTTTATACTTACCACAGTTGAGATAGGAAAAATAAGCAGAAGAATCAAGCACAGTATGAAATACAAAGTCAACCTAGTACTCTCAGCTTCTGACCCAGTCCTATATGTCAAAACTCACTATGATATCCACAACCTCGCAATCAGGCAATTACAGAAACACTTGGTAAACCTATAGAATCTACATTACAGTATCAACTCAGCAGGACACATATGATGCAACCATGTGCAAAACCTCCAGTAGTATGCCTAGCAAAACAAAAACATTCTTCAATACTACTCAAAAATCTTCAAAAAGGGATATAACCTATATCAAGACATACTTCGAAAGATACAAAAGAATGAAATAATAGCTATAATCCAGGACTTACCTGAATTCTCTAATCAGTTATATTATATTAGTGAAATAATGGACAAGGAATGGTTTGATAGAGAGCTTTCCTGAGATAATAGAATTAAATACATCAAACTAGTCATTAGTATATATAGAACATGATTACTGCTTTAGCATCAAGTTGACAGGCTCTATAATAAAATAAATAAGAGAAGAGAACTTAACTAGTACAAAGAACTCGCAAGTATAGTGACAAACTTCTTATATAATCCAGCAAACTTGAACTTACTTAATATCTTCAACCAAATTGAGCTTGTATCTTTCAACACAAGCACATCCACAAGATACACCTCTCTAATAAACAATAAGCTCGTAATTTGAAAAAGAATAAATTATATCCAAGAATATACCAAACTCTGATATTACCAATACACCAATTTATCTCCTTTTTGACATGTTCTAGATACAAACAAATGAATACAATAAATGGTAAAAGTGATAGCTACATAATTAATATATATAACAAGAATCTAGCAAGTATCCCAGTATTTGTTACCATATAATCAAACTTAGGAAATAATGATAAATCCATGTTTCAAATACAAATATTACTAGGAAGTATCTTAAGATGGTGTATATAACCCAATTAATCCATAGATACAGTAATAATAGATATCAACCTAAAACACTTTTCAAAACTTAAACTTTTCATAATATTCCCCAACAATATGACGGAGTGTATAAAGAGATTAGTAATAGTATTAAAAGCACAAATATTATTAACATATATTGTGATGGTTTATACAACCTAATATGAGACATAAATCTTATCGACATAGGAATTATCCTTTAAAACAATAACACCTAGGCAAAGTTTGCTACATGCATTATAACAAAAAGATCCAGTATTATTGCAAAACCATTAGCCATAACCATAGTTATCAACTTAATAGGACATAACATCAGATATCACATTTACACTAACTCAGCCACTGCTATAAGTGAAATTAAAAAGTGTAAGAAAAAGGAACCAAAAAACAAAACTACCTTCACATCACAAAGGCAATACAAAATACAATTTTGCTTAAACAACTAAACATTACATGACACAAAGTCACTAAAGACAATACTCCAAAAGAATATAATACTGCAGATTAACTTGCCAGAAACTCTCTAAACAATTCCATTTTAACATATACGAATATCTTTACAGACTATGTTAGCAATAACAACATTATCATTTATAAACTCCTCAATTGTAAACTCACCCAAAATATCAGGAAAAGCATTAATATTACCCAACAAATCCAACAAACTCTTACTTGGAACACACTCAAACGAAACCTAGACCTAACTATTAAATAGTAAAACAAAACAGACTGGAAAAACTCTACCTTCCATCTTCAATCTTTCAACCTCAACACTTTACCATGCAACTTATAAGATTAAATAACCTGCACCTTCTCCCTCAAAATATGAAACAGAGAACTCTCTACAATAAACACTCTAAACAAATATTACTCTAATATATTCATTACAAATAAATTCTTTAAATATTCAAAATCAAAGATCACAACTACCTCTTCTACTGCAGTAAATACGGACTAGATATTCAAGAGCTCATTATTAACATAATAAGATAAAAAATCTTAGCGAAAAGAGAACAATCCTCCAATATAAATCTTAAAATCACAATCTCACAGAACTTAAAAACAGTAATATATGAAATATCCTCATTAGGAATGGTATTACAAAACAAATTACCCAATTCATCAAATTATAGCTAGAAATCAACAAAGTAAAAGAAGCAGTCTGAGACATAATAGACTATATTAGGTTCATTACCTTCAATATATAGGAGAACAAATGTTAGCACTTTCACAAATGAATAACTAAACAAGAAATCAACTTCAAGCTCAACATATTCTATAGAGCCAAAAAAGGTACTAGATAACAAATACAACAACAATATATCCTGACAGATACAGAACTTATCCTCAATATTCTTAATGATAACAAGTCTATCTTTAATATCTTCAAACTATATATTAATGAAATCTAGGCATGTTAGTTTCTCTTCAGAGGAACAACAAGTCACAGGGGTTTCTTTTACAAACTGGCTTTTTGGAAGGTAAAAGAGATCAATACATAGAGAAAATAAATTACAAAATTTTCTTGTAATTAAAGTAATATATACTCTTCTATACCTAATAAAGTGAATCTGTTATAATAATTTTAAAAAAAATTATAAGATAATATATTTTATATATTAGGCTATATATAATACATTATATATTAATTTAATAATTGTGTCTAATTTCTATTGCTGGCTTACATAAATAAAAATATATTAATATAGAAAATATATTTAGTTATATATCATTATTTGCAAGTTCAATATAAAAGCTATACTTGAACTAGATCTGTGGAACAATAATATAGTGGTAGTACTTTCAGATTGTAATCACAAGATCTGTAGCTCAATATCACTTAAGGATCAAAAATCAAAAATTATCTTTCTGATCAGATTTACTGATTATCTTGTAAAAGTTATATCCAATCATTCGAAACAAACTTTAATCAGGTTAGATGAAATTTTGACTTTCCATCAATTAGAGGTTGAGATTTAAGTTGTACTACCAGAAGAATTGCATGAAGAAAGGCTTTTGGTTTAGTTTACTATAAATATCTCAAGACTCTTCTATCTTGGCAGTCTCTGAAATCCTACTTTCCTAGCTCAGGATATCCCAATCTAATACTTCACTTGATTAAAAATTAGTAATAGAAACCGATTTGATGCCACAGGTGGTAATAAAGAAAGCAACATACCTTCTTTTGAGGTCTGAGTAAATAATATCTAGAAATATTGGAAGGTGTTACATATTCTGTCAGATACATATAAAAAAGAATTAGTTTAATAAAACAATAAAAATCTTTTAAACTCAATACTAACTAGTCTAATCTTACTGTTAATTACTATATATTAACTATTTTATCACTAATTAGATCTATCTATTTAAAGAGTAGTAATAGGACAAACTATAATAGGTTATCATTAATTTATATGTATATAGAAATATATACTATAGTTTATATAAGATGATTGATATAATGCTGAGAATTTTAATATTTATAATGCTAAGTTAATTCTTAATAAAAAGCTTATATCTAATACCAGTTGTGATTTTAAAAAAATAAATAAAAATAAAAGTTATACTTGAACTTGATATATATAATCACAAGAAATCCAAATAGATTAGATTTTAATTAAATTCAATTTGATTCAATTTTTATAAGTACAAATCAGATTCAGATTGGATTTATTTTAAACAGATTTAATTTAATTTAAATCTAATATAATTTAATCTGAATTTAATTTTATTTAATTTAAATCTAATTTGATTTGATCTAAATCTATTTTTTTTTTTGCTCACTATTAAGTTAATTATGTGTACTTTATTAAATATAATATAGGCTATACTATTATAGTATTATTAAAACTAAAATGTCAACTGACTTATTTATCTTAGTTTATTTTCAAACTTTAAGTACAACTTTAGAAGTAATTTGTCACTCAGTTTATAGTTTGAATGAATACTTTTCTATTATAAACATTATTGCCTGTAACTTACTATTGCAGCTTATTACTGCAAATCATTAGTCAAAGTTTTGACTAAACCTAAAATTAACTATTTTATATTATTTTTAACTTCTAATTATTATTCTAATTAATCTTTTTCTAGACATTCTTCTTCAATTTTCTTTCATTTTTTGGACTTCTTGTTTTCCTTGCTAAGCAGAATTTTGAAAGTAAGTTTTCTTATCTTGTTTTTTTTTTAAAAAATTTTTGAGCTCTTTTTCAATCTATTAGTTGTTTACATTATTTGTTCCATATTTCTTTTCTAAAGTAATTCAAAACCTTCTTTTGACAACAAAGTATTTATTTTCTGGTTACTGTTTCTATTTTTTTTCTTTATATTTTAGTTTTTTAGCTTTTATTAATAAGTCTTTTTTAATTAACCCTAAAAAAAATTAATTGAGTCTTATCTATTTTCAAATATCCTTCTTATAAACTTTGTTAATTATGCTTTTATTTCTTTTATTTCTTTTCTATAAACTATTAAAATATTACTATATTCTTTTTAAACTTGATTTTTTCATTTCTATTTTACTTTATTAAATTCTTAATATACTTTTTTTTTTAATTAAATAGGCAAGACCATTTTATCGAAATAAAATAATAAGGTATATTTGTTTAAAGAAACTGTACTCTAATCAAATATAAATATAAATATTTATATTATAGTAAAACACATTGATAAAAAATCCCTATTGTATATCAATTACTGCAATCCCAAAAGATCAGCATACTTGAAATGCTACTAGTATTCCATTCTTTAAAAAAGGCAAATAGGAAGAAAAAAAGGAAAAATATAGTATAAGTATATCTTATAACTATGTTATATTGAAGGAAATATTTTCAAAAACCTCTCAAAAAAAGAAAATATTGGAAAAAGGATTATATGTGTCAGTATAATTGAAGTCTTAATGGAAATGTTGTATATAATATTGCTAAACTCAAAAATAGATTATCAGAATTGGTGTCTTATAAATTAATTTCAGAGAAAATTGAAAACTACTACTTGTTATTACTTTACAGCCCATATGAAAAAAGAAACTGTTACTTAATTTATGAATATCTTTCTAAAACCCAGTGGAAAATTTGTGATAAGACCTGCTTTTCCTTTATATTTTCTGAAGTTGTACCAAATTCATCAGTTTTTAATTGTGATGAGCTTTTCTACTTATAATTTTGATACTCCATTTCCCTTTACCTAAGATTGTTTCAATAGTTTGAAAAACTCAAACCATTTCTCTTGGTAAAATTACTCTTCAGTCAATTTCTAGCTAAATCTAGAAATTAATTACTAATACTAGGTAAAAAGAAAGATTTCTTTAGAATATTATTTATCTAGTCATGTTTATATAAGAAGAAGGGAAAGAAAAACTCAGCTATAGTGTAGATTACTACTCTGTTTGATATTACTATTTATCAGAGGTGAGAAGTACAATTTTATAAGAGAAGAAATTGAAGAAGGAATTGAATTTAGTTATATAAATTAATTCAATATATTATATTCTATTTTATTAGGTTAGTGAATCAGTACAATGAAATAGAAAAATATATATTAGGCCTCCATGTTCTAAAAGCTAGTCTAATAATAAAATAGTAGTAAACTGAATCTCTTGCTCTTTTATAGGACATCCAATAATGTGAGAAATAGCAATGTCCTATATTTATCCATCCAACCTTAATTACTTATAGTGGACCCCATGTTTTTATGGGGTTGGAAAAATACATTCAAAATATGTGGGGTGATCATAGTTACTTGTTTATATTCTTGTACTGATGTAATTTTACTGAACCAATCAGATTATGAAAAATCTTATATTACTGAAAATTCAAGATTGAACTGAAGTAGGCAAAATTCTTTAGAAAAAATCCAGAAAAAACACCATTAAAGTCTCAAGAGTGATGAAGAAAATAAATAAAGTATTGATATACTATCTTTATTTTTCTTGACCAGATATTATTTATTGTATTTTTATATCTAGAATATTTTATAAGATATTTTATTATTTCCTCTTATTCTTTATATACTAAACAACTATCTTTGTTATATAGATTTGGTCTTTTTATCATTAGTTTGATTATTATAGGGCATTTATTATTAATTAACTTAATCAGAAAACTTTTTCACTATAAGCTTTTAAAGAAGGTATTTCATATATATTTCTTTTTTAGTCTTTTTCATGTTTTATAAATAGTTTTGTTGATTTTCTATTTAAATATTGTATTTGTTTATAGTTCAGTTTTGTTGTAAACAACAGTATATTATTATTTTGTTATTTATTCTTTTTATAAATTGTCTTATGAAACTATTCAATATTATATTTTGCTATTTTACTTTTGTAATGATCTTATTGAACTTAAGATTATTCCACTGTACTATTGAAAGGTTCAATACATCTTTGGTTAACTTATCTAATATACATTTTTCTTAATATTGATATATATTTTGACTTTAACCAACTTCAATTTTATGTTTTTTGTTTTATT